ACAGAGTATCGGTGCTGTACTACAGAGTATCGGTGCTGTACTACAGAGTATCGGTGCTGTACTACAGAGTATCGGTGCTGTACTACAGAGTATCGTGACCAATGTGTTTGCACACTCACCCTTTGCCGTTTCCCTTTTAGACGGTTTGCTCTTTGGGCTGACCGTCTTCTTCTTTGACGCCTGGTTCTGGCTGTGTTCTCTCCACTTTTTCAGCTGGAAATTGATGAACTTCCACATCATCCAGGCTTGTGTCAGACAAATGGCTGCCAGGCAGGTCATCCTGAGGGAGAGGACCTGGTTTAGTAAGGCTCTGTTTATTACTATCTGGACTTTGATTAATGTATAAAGACACTGAGACCAAAAAAAGGAAGAAAAAAAGTTGAGCTCTCAGGATTTATCTGATTTGGACATAATTTGGTAAACATGCAGATCAGTGATGGGTATGGAAATGATTTGATTTACAAGGAGCTGGCATATCTAAAACTAAAAAAAAGTGTTATCAGGCAGTTGCCAGAGTGTCTGACAGTCACAACAGTTAAGGTTGTTTTATAATTCATTCAAAGTAAAGATCTCATCTCATTGAGGTAGTCACAGGATGCAAATTGCTTTATTTTGTTCTCGTTGTAGCTCGTCCACCTCTTCTCGACACAATGTCCAAACTTATTCTCGCAGGAGTATTCACCAAGGCGGTGTCCAAATTCAGGGGCTGCGTCCTTTCGAAGGACCCGGTCCACCTAGATTGGGTAGGCCGGGTCCTTCGTAAGGACGGTTGACCGCAAAGACAGGAAAAAAGGGCCTGTGAATTTTAATGGTCTAGTGTTCTGCTTACCCCGGTTTATGTCTTGTCACCTAGCAAACATGACGGCGCAAAACAGAAGCAAAAATGGATCGAAATTAGCAACATATCAATATATAAGTATTATTAATATTATAAAATAACAAATTAAAGGCAGTACTAGAAATATCTAAAGAACAGCATCTGCTTGTTTATTTTGTCATACCTTTTGTCATTTGTCATTTTATTTCTGACAAGAATAATATTTAAAAAATGTCTATGCAAATGACAAATGCAGTAATAACACAACCGCTTGAAACATTTAATTTTTATACCACCAGATTGTTATTCAAAACTGGACTCCTGTCTCTCTTTTTTGCCATTACAAGCAAAAAAAAAAAAAAATCTCCAGTCTGCCCGCAATGCATCTTGGGATAGGCTGGGCCGAGAAGGATCCACCGGACCTGACCTTCAAATCAGGGAAAAAGGAAGACACGTTTCGGTCGCAATTGGAGGAGTTTTTGAATTTGGACAGTCTTCGAAGGACACAGCCCCGGAATTTGGACACAGCTAAAGTGTTGTGTGATTGGTCCGAAAGTTGTGGGCGTGTTTGTTTTTACAAAAAAGCATTTGAACAGGAATGTTGTTTCACCACAACTACTCTGAAGCCAGCTGTAGTTTTGAGGAACGGTTAGCCGAGGCCATCAGAAATAACATCCACCTGCACGACTCTTCCAGACAAACCGACAAAGGTAACCAAAAACTCCTGGATGGAGCTAGAGCAGACATTGTGCACAGAGGACTCTGGCAAAAAGTGTGGAGCTCTCATCGTGACTTGCGTGACTTGCATGACGGGAAGTGCAGTGGGAGGAGTTTCCTATGACTTGTGTGTGACACAAAGAACCAGTTTCTTCACTTCAAATGGAGGATTAAAACTTGCTTAACTGAAGGCCACCAGACATAAAGGATGCCCCGTTGATGCATTGAACCATATTACCAGCATGTGGCTGTTTGATGAGTTTGACTGGTTGTTTTGCACAACTGCCTGGCATGACGGGTGTACAGATGTCACTGTGTGGGTGTTGGAAGCAATGGACTCATGAGGGCATCTGCACAGGAGAAGCTTCTGAATGCCAGAGGAGAATTACTATTTTGTGTGCCAAGAATTACGGAACACTTTCCACCACCCAGTGTAAGTGGTGGTTAGCTTTACTCTTTTTTTTTCTCTCTCCCTCTCTCTGCAAGTGTACGTCTAAACACTCACCTTACGGTAAGCACATTAAAGTTGCCGTCGGCTAAAGAAAAACCATGGTTTTCTGTCCGGGGCAGGCCAAAACCAAATGTCAGGACTGACAGTGTGAGGGTGAGGAGGCGGGCGATGACAAAAAGTAGTGCCCACAGAGTAAAACTGGAAAAGAAAATAAGCAGTTGTTAGTTGAACCTGGAGTGCACCATCATTTGCTTTAAAAAAGGCTACGTTAGAAATAGTAAAAAAACAAAACAAAACTTAAAAAAAGTGATACCCTTTTTGCTTGTTCTCATCACTAAAGTAGAAGAGGCGTGACGCATGAAAGAGAAGCTCCACCAGGTAATGAGGGACCAGTAACACCAGGCCGAGTCTGTGGAGGCTGAACACGCAGACAGGGAAAAAAAAGTGTTAACTGATGTCTTTTACAGCAGAGCATTCAGCTGCATCGCCTACTATACAGGGTGAGTTAAAGGTCTCAAAACACTCTTATTTCAGAACTGAATGAAGAAAATTAAATTTCTGAATACCCCAGCAAGTAATGAGTGAGGGGTTCTATCATGTAGGTTATGTCTGGAACATGGTCACCATCTTAAAATGTCATTTTGGATCAAAGTACATTTTTTTCTAATGGAAACGGGTTTCATGCAGCATATCAAACAAGACCAGAATTGTCTCAAAAATGAATTGCTGCAATCAGATGTGCAATATCTCTTTAGGTTCAGAAATTATGAACACAGAAATTTCAAAACTTTTGTTATTCGTCACAGATAAGCTCTGTGTTCATTGAACATGTCAGGTAAGCTGTGCATCACAGGCAACGTTCCCGGTTTTCATCCCACCTTTCTGTGTCCATAACCTTTGAACACTAAGAGATCAGGGCTCGTATTTATAAAACTTCTTAGAGTGGATTTTTAGACTTAAGTGCTGAAAATTTCTTAGATTTGCTCCTACTTTCAGACTTAAGTGTAAGTGCCAGTTATGAAAATTCTTAAGTCTAATGCTGCGTTCACACCGAACGCGATTTCAGCTTCAAAATTGCATCCAACGCTTCAAGTTGGTCGCTTGTGCACTTTGAGGTCAGATGCAGGTCAGCTCTTGAAGCGCTCACAAGGCAAGAGCCTCCCC